CTGGGCCGGGGCACCGGCTGTTACGGCCTCTCCCCACCCGCCCGGTGCTGCGCAGCTTCCTGGGGGTACAGACAGTTCCACTGGCCACAGCAGCTCCCATCGAGGCAGCCGCAGGGATAGCAGCAAAGCAGACACACAGCCGGGCCCATAGGCTCGATGTCAGAGATGCCTGGCGCCAGGTCCTGGGGGGCTTCCCCCACCTGCCCCTCCCCGCTTATCTCTACTTGAGGTGGCTTTGGGCAGCAATTCCCAGCCAGAGCCTCCTTCCACAGCCGGGGGGAGGGAAGGGATCTGCTCACCAGGAATATGTGCCTGCTCCGCCATTGGCATGTGTGAGAGGCCACATGGCGGAGCTGAGCCACTCGGGCAAACTGCCAGGCTGTGCCGAGGTGAGGGCTGTCCCCAGCACTGCCATCAGACATGGGGAAGGAGCAGGACCAAGAGCAGCTGTGCCCGGGGACACAGGGCTGAGACCCCCTGGGCAACCATATGCTCTTTGGCCTCCTCAAGGTATGTGCGTTCCCAAACTGTCAGTGCATCAAATCATCTCAGTAACAAATGCAGTGTCAATTTGACTTTGTTTCAACAGTTATCACCAAATAATCATCACACAGTGCAATAACAAAAGGAAACTGGCAGTTCTCGACCCTCCCAGTGCCCCATTTAATTTTCAGGTCAGAGGAAGTGGTCTCAGGGCCTGAAGGGCACAAACTCAGGGTGCCCCACGGCGAGCACTGGGGCCCCCCCATCCCTTTCCCACTGACTGCCGACGCTGTTCCCGAGTTGCCCTTAAACCCACTGGCTCCTCAAAGAGCTGCTGATCTACCTTCAGGGACAGCATGAAAAAGTGAGGGTGTTTCCCACATTCCCTTTTCTAGGGAAAAACTCATCTGCCTTCAAGAGGGACTGCGGGATGAGGCACATGCTCCAGATCAGCCTCCCACCAAAAGAGGCATTGAGGGTCATGTCTCACTCCTTTTTCCTTTTTAAATACATGCAGGATGCAGGCATGGGGCAAGGCAGAACCACACCTCCTGCCTGGGGGCATGGACAGTCCTTCAGACAGAGCCAAACTCCCAAACTCCGCCTAAGCTGAGCAATTTCTCCCTCCTGCCCCCATCTTGACAGGTAAATAAAAGTCTAAGGTCCAGCCAAACCTCCTGGAAACAGTTACTTAAGTCAAAAAGGCAGAACAAGAGTAAAAAACAAAAAATAAAGTGTGCCCCCTCTCTCTGGAGAAAGGATCAGACTGTGTCCAGCCAGGTATTTCCTATAACCATCCTATGAAAATAAAAAAATCATTAAAAAGAGATTCTCTTAAATTAGGATAATACCACTGTTTAAAAAGCCTCGTCATAAGTGCTTTCCCCTATGAAGTGCTTCTCATAGAAAAATATACAAAATATATTTACATTTATAAAACCTTAAATACTAAACTGTAAACAGAACAGAGTAAAATCCAATGTCATCACTTGTTAGGCTTGGGGCTTTTTACCTCTTTCTCTGTGTTTTGTTTGGGAGGTGGGTGCAGACACAGGCAGGGGGAGGACTGATGATACTCCATCCAGGATGAGTGCCTGGTGATTCCCTGACACCCAGCACAGCCCCTTGCTGCAGCAACTCCAGCCCTGCCGGCCGCTCCCCATTTTCCTATGCACTCCTGGACGCTACCTGGCACAGACTAGGCTGGTCAGTGTTTGGCCATGTCTTTGCAGAGAACATGTGCTTCGTTTCAGTGCCTCTTCCCCTGCCTTCCTCCTTTATATCTCCATCTGGCTGGCCCCAGGATGCTCTGCAGGGAGGCTGAGCCAAGCAGAGCCCTTGGGAACCTCCATGAAAGTCCTTCCTAGCTCCTGCTCTACAGTGGTACAGGGCCAAGCCTAGAGACAGCTCCTAGTCCTCACCTCTTCCATGGGATGTTGGTCCCTCACACCAGCTCCACGGTGGCAAAGAGACCACTGGTTGGAAGCGCCTCAAGCTGGGTGGGCAGAGGAGGAAGCCAGCTGCTAGAGACAGGGCCAAGGAAAGGACAGAGGCAGAAAGGAAACCTTCGCTCGCCAAGACTGACAGCATCATAACTGCTGGCACAAGCCCCCTCACTGCCAAAGAATGCCAGGAATTCCCCTACGCTTGGGCAGGGATTTTGGAGCAATGCGCTAGCCAAACCCTCTGGAGTCTCCCTGCGGGCTGCTCTGTCCTGCTCTCCCCATTCC